GAAGAGGTTAACGACACTGTCTTAGCTGTAAAGTTTTGGACGAGTGAAGCTAATGATTGCATTTCGGCTGACCATCTGCTATAAAAATATCAAGAGGTTAGATTATCAGGTGGACCTGGAAAATAGAAACATCGACAAAATAAGATTGAATAGAAAAATGTTGAAAATGGTATAAACGTCTCCCTGAAATATTTATAGCAAGTCATTGGGCATAGAGTTTGGAAATTTAGCCTTCCTACAGGGAAACATATAAAAGCTAAGAGGCCAGGTATTGTGATTGAAGACTAAAAACTATTTTCTGGTAGACATGACAGTGTATTTAGATGAAAGTCGATCATCGAATTGAACAGGTTAATATTGTAGTGATCAGAGAAGCATCTATTCTGGAGTATATACCTTATTCCAAAGTTGATGGGGAAAATCTCTCTGAGTGGAACTTACTATTTACCAATTAAATATGAAGGGTTTCAAAACTACGTGGCATGTCCTAGATAGAAAGGTTTGGACAAGTGAATTCTAAGGGACCAGTCATTGTGACTCAAGACTAAAAACAAAACGTGATTTCTAATAGATAAGACAGTGATCTTATATAAAAAATATACCTGCTAAAGCATATAAAAATATCAGTAAATATAAGCATTTCAAATTTAAATTGAAAAAAAAAATATTGGTGACATAAGTGCGATTCTAAACGGTTTAGGCAAGAACATTAACAAAATCCCTGGCGACCCCAGTATATAAGAGATTGAGGATGAGCTTGTTGTGACTGCTCATCTACTCAGGGGAGTATTATCAATGAAATGAAAATATAAATACTATATATACTAAGTATCCCTTAACATCAGAATTTGTGAAAAGAGGATGCTTATATTTATTACCTCACTTTACTTCATGTCTCAGAAAATGATCCGGTAAGAGATTGTCATAATCATAGGCAAATAATAACGATAATAGTACAGGAGTTTTAGAAAATAGATATAAAAGACAAATGTAACAGTAAATTTCTAAACAAAAAAAACTTCTCGGATAATTTCTGAAACGATTATGAATTTAGGCGAGCTAAGAGGTTGGCATCTCGGTCCCACCCCTTCACTGTCGAAATGGTTACATTTAACCATATCTTCTACTCAAACAGCTTCTTCTTTCGCACTTCCCGCCTCTTCCTCTTACTTGCTTCCCTAATAACTATAATCTTAATATATTCAAGTGTAATGTCAATCGACATCTTCTGATACCTTGATCTTGTTCCCCGCCCTTCTCTTTATCCTCTCCCCAAACATGCCTCTTTACTCTTGTTCTCTACCTTCTGTAACCTTTTGCATGATAGTGGCACTCCCGCCTTTTTGGAGTGAAATGCTTAAAAGAAAATGCAGTTGCAAAAGCGAAGTCATGGACATAGTCCCGAAGTGCAAATGTAAAATAGAGGAACTTCTAGAAACAGCGGCAAATAACAACTGCTCAATAAAACTGCTTATTAGGATAAGGGGAAGCATTACAAGTTAATATTTCACTAAGCTGGCACATCTCGTAATAAGCGAATACGGCAAGTTTCCGCAGGTGCAGAACACATATATGCATGGCTAAGTGGGAAAGGTAACATTCTGTGAACTGTGCAAAGATTGTGACCAGATAAAATAACGGAATACACACAAAAGAAGACGAGAGCCATGCGATTTTAGAGTAATTTGTGGAGTGTCATGATTTTTCACGTCCTGAAGTAACACGACATACACAAGAAAGAAATCCTATATATTCATTATAAAATAGACGTATTATCATCAACTTCTATTTTGATTAAAATGCCTGAGTATCCAGGAGACATTGTGATTCTTATCTCTATTGAGAGTCAACATTTATTGGTGTGAAAAAACTGGGCAGAAATAATACAATAACAACGTGTTCTGGAAAACAAGATACTTGATATTATTTAGTTTTCTGCAATACCCGTTAGTTAATATTTACATGGAAACGCAATATTTTTATTTTTATTATTATAGCAACGGTAATGATAAAGAAGATGATGAAAAAGATAGATAACAAGAGAAAGAGAAAATGGAGCTCAAGCTGGAAGAGAATAGCGGAAGAAAGAATTATCAACTTGGTAGGCAGTAGTTCGGAGGGTGAGCAGTACTAGACAATATGGCGTCAGGAAACTAGCCTAAACAAAAGACACAAGCAGAACAAACACAGTGGAGCCAGACTTGATTGACTTGCGCCAACCCTCAATATTTTTGCCGTCAGAACCGATAAATCTTGCCCACTTGAGATGCATCACGGGAAGAGACTTTATTGTGACTTGCATGGCGACACATCCCAGGACTATAAGGAGTGGGAAGAGGGTGGGGAAACTTGAATTCAATTCAATGTACAAGAACTCTTAAAAGCGACACATGCATAATCGTTGGCTTACACATTCCAACTGAATGAAGAGCAGCTTTATAGTTAAACACATGCATTTGTGTAATGAAAGCATTTATTTATGTTTCTTGTTTATAAATACATACACGAATTTATAGATCTTTGTACGAACATGGATACGCATTATTTATATCTTATTAGATTTAATCCAAAGAAAGCTTAATATTACAGTCCCCATATGTGGCTGGATTAAAAAATAACGGCTGTAATATTTTTTAAAATATTAGACAGAATTACATAGCTATAAATCATTAAGTATCTTTAAGATCGGGAAGAACAATTCGTGAACTTCTGTTTTCTTACTCATAATATACGTTCAAAATGCTTTCTTTTGTGGACAAATATAGATTGAAAAAAAAAACTTTCAAAATATTTCTATTTTGAAAAATAGAAAACGTTGCACTTATTCTCAATTCTAAATTTTTAATGAGACGTTGCACTAGATGTCAATACAATTGCAATGCTTGAGGGAAAGAAAAAGTCATAAGGACATGCCCTGAAATGGTAGGCCAGCTGCTACCGTTGGGGGATATTAAGGCTATGACGCACTCATATGAACCATACGGAAGACTTCAGTTAAATCATGGTAGTACCTGTATTCTGGTGTAGTCCATTGGCGACACAAAGACCTTTGCAAAATGTGTTCCCAGAATGCTAAGTGTCTTCGTAAAAGAGGAGAGTATGGTTGCTAACGAAATAGGTATGAAGCATAACACAAACACGATTTGCTCAGGATATTAGCTCTGGATACACAGCTATGAACCACAGAACAAAGTATATATAGAGTAGCGATACACACAGGAAAAAGTTTTAAGACACCGTGCTCTGCAGCGAATATGAACGTCACTGCATGTGGGGACTCTTGGTGTTTGTGACCCTTGTAAAAATATAATTTCTGATTCTTAACCGAGAGCAAAGCAGCTTTAAACTATGCCATACTTGAAGATGTCAGTCTATTTCAATAATATATATATATATATATATATATATATATATATATATATAAATACACAGCATAAAGTGTAATAGAAAGGGAGGAGTAAGGCAAGAGTACTGAAGTTGTGTTTGAGTGGGGTGGGATAAATAAATTATAATTATTTCATCCGCATTAATAAGAACTCAAAAAATATTTTAGTGTGTATACATCGCGAAATCATTTAAGTCTTTTATTTCGTAGATTTTTTGGGTTTGGAAATGTTATTATAGTTAATTTTACCTCCTAGCACAGTTTGCAGACGTCATTACAGTTACTGTAAGGTTTGGCTCTTCTTAATATTCTGTAGTTTATATTAGGTTCTTTGTTATTTTTTCTTTTAATTTTCGCACATGGCTGGTTAGTTTGGAATGATGACTTGGGATTATACCATCATTCTTGAAGCTGTCTTCAATACACCCACGTATATTTTCCTCAAGCCATTTATATCTTTTACTTCTGCTTTGTCAATTACTCCTTCCGTTTTGTAAATTCCATCCAGTGGAGATTTATCTCAAGACTTAAGTGCATTGTGCGTCATATATATATATATATATATATATATATATATATATATATATATATATATATATATATATATATATATATATATATATATATATATATATATATAAATTCCATCCAGTGGAAACTTATCTCTACAGTTAACGCATTGTCTATCATATATATATATATATATATATATATATATATATATATATATATATATATATATATATATATATATATATATATAAATTCCATCCCGTGGAAATTTATCTCTACAGTTAACGCATTTTCTATCATATATATATATATATATATATATATATATATATATATATATATTGTATGTCAAGGTTTTCTACGTTATATATTTTTAGAAACATATTTTCGAAAATTGTTGATTCTTTGAGATATTCTGACTCAGATGTCTCATTTCGCATTGGATAAACTATTAACATATTAAATTCTGTACACTTTTTACATTAATTTGATCAAAACAACAGGAGATACGTAAGAAGCTAATTTAAAATTCATCTGTTTAACTGCTTCATCACCAGCATCAGCATCAACAGCTGGGTGTGATCGTATAGTCTCTGAGCATTTTTCAAGATTGCTTGCTTGCTAATATCTGAATCTTTGTGAATTAGGCCCCCCCCCTCAATAACTCTGTAAACCCATTCTTACTATGTCTAATTATTATGCCTACGACAGAACCATCTAGGATAGCAGCTGAATAATGGTTGCCTCATGATCTGTCTGTAGCATTTGGAATTTCTCATCTTGACATTATATATGAGATTATACAGGTCCTTTTATTTTTTGACGATGTCTCGCGCACTGCGATATCTGTGTTTTTATGGGAGATGCATTTGATGGTTCCGTAGCATCTGGTTTTTCATGCATAGATTCTTTTCTGTAAATTCTGTGCAAGAAAGCATAAAGAGTTAGCAGTATCATCGTTGAACTTCAACGATGATACTGTTACCTCTTTATACTTTCTTTTTTGCAGACGTTGAAGTTTAACTGCTTAATGTTTCGAGAGCTATCGTTGGAATACACTGTGCCACAATCTTATATTCAAATTGACCTACGCTAACATCATTTGAAACGCCGGTTTCCGTACGATCATCGAAGTTAAGCAACGTCTAGATTGTTCAGTACCTAGATGGGTGACCTCTTGGAGATACCAGTTGCTGTAAGCTTGGATGTGCGAGTAATATAATGGATAATGGCTCAGAATTGTTAATCGGAGAGTCGAGTTCCCGTTTCAGTTGGGTTCATTATATCCACTTACGCACAAATACCTTCCGGAAAGGTATGAATACACCTCTTCTCCGCCAGCTATGGGTTAATTAATACGACTTGTATCACTAAAATACGAAGAACAAAATAAAAACAGTTTCAAACAACCATGCGCAGTCCGTACCTAGGTGAACATGTGTCGCGAATAGGAAATGTATACATAAATAGAAACGAAATAAATAAATAAAAATCTTTCGGGATAAATGACATTTGGACCGAAGGTAGGGAGATATGTTTATATAACCAGGCTGCATTCTAGATATGGCCAGTCCCGTTTAGATTAAGTAAAGATGCAGAGGCAGACATAGACGGAAACGAAAGGAGAAGGATTTCAAACTGGCCGAAAGGAAAATATATTCCGTTAGTCTGTTGGGAGAAAAGAAATGATTCATGGATAAAGACTCATCTTTCTCAGAACCAACGGACTTTCTAACTAAGGACGTATTTGAGACTTTTCATTCCGAACGATAACTCGCTTCAGCTGCTTTGCATAAATTCCATTACGGATGAGTTTTGTTCATACGGACACAAACAGGAATCGAACCACGAGTGAGACAGAATCTGTCCAGTTGATGAAAATTTTCGCGAGCGCCATTTTTGTATGTTTATAATATTAACACTAGAATGAACCCCGTCTTTTTTTAAATTTGGGAGAGATGGGTGTTAATGAACTATAGTTGGTAACCTATAAGTGTTAGCGGAATTTTATAAAAAAATAATATTTAATATTATATTTTATAAACTTAACGGATTTTTTCAGAAACCTACAATTAATAACTAATTATTATTTTTATAATACATACGGATTTTTAAGTTGGGCATTAATCTTTTCATCTGCATTTAAACCCTAAGTGGACGATACCTGAAGCTTCAAGCCTTTGAACCTACACATCTTCAAATATATGTAGGTTGCTGATAGAACCAACCAAAACGCTACCAACTTTAAAACGTGAGACTCTCAATGTCTTTCATTAAAACTAATGACTCTTATTGACTAATTAATCATACGAAGAAGACAGTTGTCTTAGGGCGTTTTTCTTTATGTGTACAGTAGACTGTTTCTAATTTTGTGGAAACACATAGACAACGACCGGTTCATAATGTCGCCTGTAACTGATGTCAAAAGTCAAACTGAGAAAATCAAAAACATGCACATACCCATACAGAAATGCAACAAATGTCAACGAACAACGAATAAAACCAAAAATCGACATATATATATATATATATATATATATATATATATATATATATATATATATATATATATATATATATATATATATGTGTGTGTGTGTGTGTGTGGGTGTGTGTGTGTGTGTATAGCTTGGAGCTAATAAGAAAAGATCATGTTTGAAGAATCTATAAAGTTTTGCGCACTTTTTTCTATGATTGTAACGATACATATAAAATAGTGTGAGATAATTACAGCTTAAATCTATTTTTTATAATCCCATGTAAGCTTAGTACATAGCCAATCATATTACTCCCTGTTTCCATCAATTGCTAAATAGCCCAATCTGAGCTGTTAATTAACACATAGCTGGGAGGAGGAGAAAAAAACGCCCCAAAAAACATACTTTTTACTGCATACTCGGAAATTGAACACAACTTAGTGATTCTTCTAACCGCACCGAGAACCATTATGTTACCCGCACTAAAACTATTTTAAATAACACTCCTAAGAGGGTAGGGCATAATGGCCCTCCGCAGTTTCCATTTTTCTTCTTTTTGAAACAGATTTCCAAGATTCTGCGTCTCTTATAGATACAATGTAAACCACTTGATATCTAGAGTCAAAAGTTATCTATCCAACACATTCTCATACTCCGCATTTACGTCCATAAAACAAACCCATTCAGTAACCCTCTACATTGAGTGGCTCTTTGGCCTTATATTGGGTGAACATTCAGTATAAAAATGTTCAAAAATGTTCTATGCTTCCTTTAAAATATATTGGAGAGCTTCCCGTTGCTGTCTCCACGGTTTTACATTCTGAATAGTCCTTCTTCTAAAGCGGCTTCGACCGATCAAGAGCGTCCAGTATACTCTGCTATTTCACCCGACATTTGAACTGGCTCGCACCGATAAATGCTCCCTTACCCGCTCATCTTAAAGTGAATTTGACGTCTCTAAAATAAGTAATGCAAGAGCTACTAACGAGTGTTACACATTTATCGCAAAGTAATATTTAAACTTAAGTCCTTAAACCCAACAAAATAAGATGTCTATCCAATTTTTAGTTTGATTTTGTTTAACGTCATATCAACATCTATGGATTATTTAATGCCGTAATCTATTTTGAACAGAGTTGTATGGCTTCAATTACAGGTAAAATGGTCCTTTCGCTATAAAATTTATTGTTGGTAATTCTGCTTAAAAAAATGTATTGTTATTACTTCTACTATAAATATGTATCGTAGCGATTTTATATATACAAATATATCGGTGGTATTTTATTATAAAAAAGTACTTTTATACTTTCATAATGTTTGGGAGTTCATTATTATCCAATAGCTGGGGCCCTAACAGGTGCTACCACCCCGAGTTAGGGGGAAGCTTGGAAAAACAGCAGTTCAAAAGTGGTTCCTCGCTTCACAAAACCTCTAATCTCCTGGTCAGAGGCCTTGCTGCCGGATGTAGCTCATTGTCATACGCATACATCCCGGTTTTAAGCAACAATCAAGCAATGCCAGTATGACTTGATTTAGTTCAGTCTTTTAATATATTTTAAAATTATCCAAAATTAGTTCATTTAAGAATTATGAAAGTATGAATTACAAAATATGTAATGTGTAAATACTGAATCCCAAAACAAAGCATTATGAAATAAAGCATTTTAATAGTAAAAAATATCAGCAGTTCATTTTTATGTAAAAAAAGATCGACAATGCATAATCAGCAATATAATTTATCTGTAGTAGAAGGTATACCATTGTGTTCAAAATATATTAAGTTGAAGCTATATAATTGTGTTCAAATTATTTTGATTTCGGCATTAAATAGCCCATAGTGGTTGATATGCCGCTAAACAAAATCAACTAACTCACAAAATGAACAGAAGCTACATTATAAATAAGAAACATTAAATATTCCTCCGAGACATCACCTACGTAGATTTCATAAAAAATGACGTAGTGCGGGGCACTATCAGACAAGAAACTGACCCATTGGAACCACCCACAAGAAGTGAAAGCTGAAATGGTATTGTCTTAAATAACAAACTTTCCATTGGCATCTTACGAGGCTCCACATGAATAAAGAAAGTGTAGTAAGATAGGCTGACAACAGCACTGAACGGAATGAAAGAACAATTACAGCGAGACAGTCAGTTGTTCCGTTTCTCAGCTTACCCAACAACTACACCAGGTAGATGAAGTTCATGATAATGACTCACAATTTAATGCAATTTAGAATTCTTTGTTATTTTATTTAATAAATGAAGTATTTTCATTATTAATTTTTGAACTGACTGATTTATATTTTACGGCTTATCAAGGATTTGCAGGTTATTTAAAGATAGAAATATGTTTTAGACTGTAAGAATGTTTTGGAGACAGTGGCTTACTCATACACGTTCTACTAATTAATCCAATGCTGGGGGAGATGAGGCAGACCCTTACTTTGTCTAGAGGGATTTTCTCGTAAGTGAATATAACAAACTCGATTTGAACTGGAACACGGCTATCTGATTTCCAATGACCAGCCGTATTATTTCATCTGATTTGTTTTTATCACAATGCTGTGCATCCATAATGGCAGCAGTAACAAATTAGAATAAATCGTTTTGGAAAAGATTTGAAACTTACGTCTGTAAGCAATGAGGCGATACATTGAACAAATCTAATTGGCGGAAGGTGCTAACGAATTATTAAGTTAGACATCTGCAATCATATTTTTATCGGCTCTCTGCCGATTATTTCCAGAATATTAATCATATATCCCGAAATAGTCATAATTTCTGATTATTCCTTATGTATTATTTACATTCAGAATAAAATCCTCATCTTTGTCGTTATCGCAACGTCATTGTTAACGTGTCTGTCGATTTGGGTAAAACCTAAGGGAATTTTGAACTGAAATCTTAAAAAAATGAAATTAGTAAAATGTATGTAAAAATTCATTGAAAATAAAAATAACCAGGGTTCATAGGATAAACATGAATCCTGTTCTGTCGCGCCACTGTAGAGTAAAGTTGAAATAAAATCCATTTTGTGATGAAGCTTTTTGATCAGCGAAACGTGTCATAAATGATTTCCTAATTGCGTTATATATATTTCCATATTTTTGTTATAATGTGTTTTTTCGCGAACTTTTTGAACGTCCTTATATTTTCTATTTATTCAATTCGAACCTGCCTTCAAAAATACAGAAGGAAAATTAATTTATACAATGCATTTTCTGTTTGTTTGTTCATTACATTATTATAATGTCTCCTGTATCGGGTCTAATATCAAGATTGTCCAAATCGTGTAACAGCATGGGATAATTGTCCAACGAACAAAAGAGATCAATTAGAAAAGATCCAACTCAATTCATAAGATGTTTGGCACGTGAGATTTGAGTTTCAGCTATGATCGTCCAAAGAGCTGTGAAAAGACTTGAAAATGAAATCATATGTGAAACCTGTGAGGCACCTTGTTATCTAAAAAACACCAAACTAGTTTTTCCTTGTTTTCAGATAAGACGTTTAGCCATCTTGACACCATTTGTCGTAAGAATCACTAGAAAATTCTTAGAGCTATTCAGCTAGAAAGAGAACAGGTTAAATTTTTTTTGTGTTAGAATCAGTGTCTTCCCAAATGAACAATGGGGAGAGGAAAAAGATTATTCAGGCATTCAGTAATGGTACCAACATTCATACACTGGCTTCCATCCAAGAACCATCAAGAGAACAA